TTCAAATTTCAATTTATTAACTATATATATATTTTTATATTGTTAACTTTTTTTTTCGTTTAATCAATAATTTTATGTTAAATTTAAATTTATATATATATATATATATTAAGATATAGATTGATTATTAAATTACCATATATAATATCCTTAATTTTAAATTTAATTTATATGCCAATTAAGCGTAATGAAAAGGCTATTGAAATTAATAAAAAAAATTATAGAAATAAAAGTGACAAATTAATGTTATATTGTTAATTAAAACAAGAAAAGAAGACAACAGCGCCATACTAAACTTTTTTTGCAACTTTTCGTTGGGTATAATAAATGCATATTTCGATTCTTTCCCTTTTGAATAAAGAAACATAAAAGATTCCTTTTTATAAACATTTAACTGTCAATAAAGAATCATAACTGTTAGTCATTGTAACGGTAATAAAAATCAGAATAATATTATGTTGAAAAACAAAACAAATCAAAACAAATCAAATCAAATCTTGAGGGGATGATTAATATTGAGTAATGATTTCGTTGCTCCACTGTTAAATTTTTTATAGGTCATTCTTATCCATTATAGTTTTTATTATCATACTATTTCTTTTTTCTTGCTAGAATATTATTACAATATTCCATATTTGTAAATTTTATATAGAGATTAATATTTCTCATGTTATAGAAAATAATTTTTTTATATATTTTTTTTCATTATTTTTTTTATATGAATCCACATGGATTTTATATACTTTTATATGTGTATAAAAAATAAATTTATCTCCCATAACAAGAGAAACATTTAATCTTTTAATATGCCTTAAATCCATGATGAAAATTCAAAATCCAAGATTTTTCTTGCATTTTTTCAGGATGAAGGGTAAGCGGACTGCAAATTCCATTTTTTGCATTTCCCACCGAAACAAAATCCTTCTTTTGACCACTCACTTTTTTCCATTTGACAAAAATATAAATAGTGGCAAATCTCAACTACTTCCACTGTATAATACGCTGTCTCAGATCTTTGGACATTTCGTCTCAAATGTTGGAGAAATAAAAAAAAATTGCATATCTTATGCAATTCTATTTAATTTAGAATATATTTAACATTAGTTCAGTTTATATAAATTTTCTGACATTATATGTTCCAAAAAAATCAATTATTAAGTATCTATAAAATCTAATGGTTGGATGTATAATTCTTCAAAAATCACAATCATTGGTATATCTTTTGTGTTAATTATGCTCTTACATCAAACGAGTAAAAATTTAATTTCTTTCATATGCATTAAATTAAAATCTACATATTTATAGTCAATAAATTTTTCTACTTTTTTTAACCGAATAATATTTGTCATTTTTAATTTTTTTATTTAATTTTAAAATTTAAAATTTAAAATTTAAATTGTTTTGTATTGATTATACATACTTTTAAAAAATAATTTTGTTCTCTTTTAATTTTTAATTTTTATATATATTTTAAATTGATTATACATATATATTTAAAAGGTTTATATTAAATATTTTCTTAAAAATACTTGTATGGAAATTTTTTATCTTTTTATATTATTCTTTTAAGTTAAGTTTTTATTTTATTTTCTTTTAAAGTATAAATATGTCATTTCTTAATTATTTTCAATTAAATTTCAAATTTCAATTTTATCAACTATATATATATATATTTATAATTTTAATTTTTTTTGTTTATTCAATAATTTTATATTAAATTTAAATTTATTATATATATATATATATATATATATATATATATAAGATATAGATAAATTTAATGAGTTGGATGTATAATTCTTCAAAACAAAGACTGTAACTACTGATTACCAAAAAAAAAAAAAAAGAACGTAACTACTGAAAAAATATCTAATTTTATTTTTTTTACATGACAAACCAATTTTATTTCGTGATATACTAATATGTTTTTTTTGTTTACTTGAGTGAATATTAGTAAAGTATACCCTGAGTGAAAAAAAAAATTTGCAACTTTTCGTTGGGTATAATAAATGCATATTTCGATTCTTTCCCTTTTCAATAAAGAAACATAAATAAAAAATATCTGTTCTCATCCAATAGTAAAGTATACCCAAGAGATCTTTGCATTGCGCTTACTAGCAAACTTCACCTCCTTTGCAGTCTATCAAGGTTATACCATTTCATGTCCACACTTGCAGTATCTGTTCTCTTATCCTTGCTTTTCATTTGAAGCCAATGCCATCCCAAACTCTCATCCAATAGTAATGAAAAACGTCCAATATCTATGCAGGCATAAATAAAAAATATAATTCAAATGATATTTTTAACATTTTCTTTCTCTATTTCTTGCTAACTGTATACAATTTGAGCCATAGCAGACTCACACATGAATGAATAGAGGAATACAGAAACTTACGCAAACTTTCAGGAACAATTTTTTTGAAAACATTTGCTGAGTAATGTATATTCTCTCAAGCTTGAACTTTTCTTTCACTCATCTCATTCAAAAGCTTGTTTGCATCTTTTATCCTGCCATCTTGACACAGCTTGCGCAAAATTGAATTATAAGTAACAACTCCAGGGTACAATCCCTTAGCCTCCATCAGCTCACGCATTTTCAAAGCTTGCTCCAGTTCATTCGTTTTACAATAACCATCAATCAACGTAGTATATGTCACGTGATTGGGAGCTGCACTTTTAATTTCACTAAACATCCTCATAGCTTCTCTCATCCTACCTTCTCTGCAAAATCCATAAATAAGAGAATTATAACTAACTATATCAAGATTTATCCCCTCTTTTTCCATTTTGTCCTGGATGGACAAAGCCTCATAGTGCATACCTTTCTTGCAATATAATGATATCAAAGTATTATATGTAAAAATGTCAGGAAGCGCACCCTTTGCTTCCATCTCATTTAGTAACTGTTCTGCCCTCTCCACATCTCCTGATTTGGAACAAGCATGGATTAAACAATTATAAATGTAGATATTGAGAACAACCCCACCTTGAACCATTCTCTTATGAATCTTCCAAACCATATTAGTAATCCCATCATTCACCAAACAATTCAAAAGCACAGTACAAGCATGCAAATGGGGCTTGACTTTATATAACAACCTCATCTGTTCAAAAACTTGAATTGCATCCTGGGTCATCTTTGACTTTGCATAATGTATCACAAGCCAGCTCAAAACATGTGAATTAACTTCTGGGTCGTCATGAATCCTCACCAAAGAGCTCAAAACCGAAGGAGATGAAAGAAAATCCTTGTGGGCAATTTTGTCAAGCATCTGTTGTGCAGTTTTGAAATGTTTGTGTTTGGTGAGTATGTGAATCATGGTCCATGAACATTGCAAGGAGTGGCTAAAATGTGGGATGGAGGCAACCCATTTGAAGAATGGAAAGGAATAAGAGGGCCCATAACCATAAAGTGAGAGATGCAAAAGCACATTGTGTATGGTAGTGGAAGTGAGAGCAGAGCCATTCTTTGCATTCAACAAATTTCCCCAATGACCCTTGACAACAATTTCGCACACACTCTCAATAAATTGGCTCTTCTCAACAAAAACCATGTCTATTACTATCATCCATATGCTCTACCATTTGACCAAGAGAACTTGATGGATATACATACCAATGAGTATAATAGTGGGAGAACACCATACTGTTATTAGATTCATTAAATTGTCTCCCCTGCTGAAGCAATGCTATTAAATCATCCCCAACTTGCCCCCCTGATGGGTCAAGTGCAAATACCATACTTGCAAGTTCATTCAAAATATCCTCAATCTGAACAGACACCATTCACACAAAAATAGAGTTAAATATCCATAAGGTAAACAATTGTAAGAGTGCCATTTATGCATGTGCATACAATAGTCAGTGTTAAGAAAACTGAATCCATAATATTGCACAGGAGATGCCATTCCACTCTTATGGAAAAAATAAAAGAAACAAATAAAACTTGGTTTGGGAGGCTATAAATAAAGTTTGCAGACAAGTTAAGAGCATGCTTACTCTGGTTGATTTGGAGCATCCTGGGGGTCTACAGTCATCATGTACATATCCTTTTTAGGTTATTTTGCTGGGTCTTCCAATATATCACCCTTCAGTGTAACAAATTGCAAATATAAGAAAAAACAGCAACATGTCATAAATTCAATGTATAGTTTTGGAAGCTACGGTACATAAAGCATAAACCTAGATCAAACTAAAGATTTAAACTTTCGGCAACTTATCATAATACAGCATAGCAATGAAGTTGGACAATGAATTTGATAATTCACATGTCTAGAGCAGTAACTAAATTAATGAATTTCCTTGAATTATTTTAAAAGCTTTTCATGCTTTTAGAAGAAAATAACAATAAGTAGACTAGAAGTTTTCAGTGTACACTAGAAGTTTTAGCTATTCACATAAAACTTGACAGGATCCAATCAATTACTTTAGAGGATGTTAAGAATGCTGAGGAGGATGTACAGAGGATAACAAGTGGGAAGGACACTGGAGATTTATACTATCAGACCATTACTGGACTCAGACATGCTCTATCAAAAGCACAGCAAAACACTGCAAAATGACCAGCAACAGCAGAAATCAAATCCTACATATAATAGCCCAACTTAATTAATTAGTAAATCTAGTGTAATTAATTAATTAAACATGTTTTAGTGAGTGAAATTAAGTATAAGGCTTAATTAAATGAATCTGAGTCACTTTGGAGTTAAAAAGTGTACTCAGTGAAAATTAAGGGGTATAAATGGGTACTGACGAAAGTGCCCAAAATATAAAAATAAAAATAGTAATATTCCTAGAATAATATTCCAGACTTTTGGGTAAAGTTTGGTAATTATTGGAGTTAAATAGATAGACGAACCAATACCCACATGTTACCACTTAACCAATGTTAAGTGATAAAACACCAAAAAGAACCCCCCATTTCCCCCAGCAACCCGTCGAACCAGAAGAGAAGAAAGGAGAGGGAGAAGAAGGGAGAAGAAAGGGAGAGAGAGAGAGAGAGAGAGAGGAAACCTTAACCGATTTGAGTGATTCAAAAGCCTAAATCGCTTAGAATCTCCTCCTCTTTCATAATCCTTGCTTTGTTTTGAGTGGGGAGCATTGTGGAGAGGGATATTGCCTCTCAAAAATTCGGCCATTGGTGAGATTTTGGAGTTTTGGTGGCTTCTACCTCCATGGGAGCTTGAGGAGCACTCACATCATTGTTGTGCAACCATTGGTGGTAAGATTTAAACCCTTGAACCTTATTTTCATGGAAAATTTCATGAGTAGGGTTTTGTGAATAGTAAAGTGGGAATTTTAGAAATTGTGAGTAAGTTGACTATGTTCTAGGAAGATTTAAGCTTAGAGCATGTTGTGAAAAATGCTAGGAACGACATTTAATCGGTGGAAATGAGCCTAGATGGTCATTTGATAATTGTTCATAATATTGGAAAATTCATGCTTGGATTGGTTAGTATTCTAGCATGTTGAACAATTAGTGAGTTGAATGATTGATTGTGTCCTTGTGATGTCTAGGATTGAGACATTTGGACCAACCGTGAGTGATCAATCATTGGAGCAAGCTATGGAGCTTGAATAGCTCATTGGAATTGGTAAGCTCATCCTTGTGTTGTGGTATGAATAGGATAGCTTGGATTGATGATGATGAGTTATCCTTGAATGCAATATGTTAATTGCATTACCCTTGTATAGGTGTATATTTGTAAAAGTGGATTGCTGAAACTGTTGGTGAAGAACAAAGGTCGACTGAAGCATTGAGGTAAGCCTTCGGACCTTGGGTGTAATTCCCTTGACTGTTCTACCAAGCCCTGAAAGGGTGGAGGTTGTGATTGTGTATATAAATGCAATAAAATAGTGTAATGCTTTGTTATACGTATGTGTATGCATTTGGTGTGGCATAGGATGGTGTTTCCCTATGTTGGTATGTTGCATGACGATGCGTAAATCATACATGGTAGTTAGCTGGCCAGTAGGACTATTTGCATCTGAGTTTCCTTAGGACAGCTTGAGAGCTCGAGGGATTTCTCCTGGAGATGTATTGCACTTTGCATAGATATGTATTTACTGCATTATTATTGTTATTGCTATTACACTGATATGGAACTGTGGGGTGGAGAGATGCTCCAAGGACCCCTGGTTTACTGGATATATTCGTATATCTCACCCCGTGTTGTGGGGACCCCCTTTCAGGTAAGGATGCTGCAGGAGCCTCTGGTGGCAAGTGGCCATATCTGGATTATGCATGAAATGTGGCATTCCTTTTGAGTTTATGCATGCCTTTGTAGTTGACATGTATAGGAATTTATTTTCAAAGCCTTTGGTCATTTGTATATCTTGATTCATTGGATGAACTTAGCCTATGCTCATGCCTTTGGTTACACCTTTTGTTGATAGGAGCCAAGGGAATGATCATAGTGTTTTGTAAGCTAAGTTCTATGATTTGTAAATGATATGTAATGTAAATGATGCCTACTTGAAATTCAATATATGCATGCTTGTTATGTATTGAGTTGTTGAATTGGTTGGGCTGAAAATCAATTAGGTACCCTTTGTTTAAATTGGTAAACGATGAGAAAACAAAGGTCATGCTGCCCAAATTCTAGCTAAATCTCATGAGGAGAGGTTGGATGTGTGCTAGGATTTAGTTTTGGGGCATGGACAATTGGGGTTTGGAATGGGGATGCATCTTCCCCTAGGCTTGGACTTGAAAAATGTGGGAATTGGAATTCCCTGGCAGCGCGCTTAAGCGCCCAGGAGCGCGCCCAAGCGCCCTGCTGCCCCTCCGTGTGCCAATGCATTCTGCCTCCTCGCGCTGGAGCGCCCAAGTGGGGGCTGAAGCGCCCAGGATTGCGCGCTGGAGCGCCCTGGCTTGCGCTTAAGCGCCCTTTGCTGTAAAAAGTTGGGATGCTTACTGTCCCCTCGTGTTTTAGCGCCCAGGGTGGGGCTTAAGCGCCCAGGGTTGCGCGCTTGAGCGCCCTGGTCCGCGCTTGAGCGCCCTTAGCCACTGAAGGAGGAGATGCTTCTGACTCTGCGCGCTAAAACGTCCCAATGGGAGCTTAAGCGCCCAGGATAGCGCGCTTGAGCGCCCTGATGCGCGCTTAAGCGCCCATCCACACTGGAATGCCTGATGCTTACTGCCTCCGTGCGCTTAAGCGCCCAGATGGAGGCTTTAGCGCCCGATAGCGCGCGCTTGAGCGCCCGATAGCGCGCTGAAGCGCGCGGGGCCTGTGACCAACACTATCTTGTGTTGCTTCAAATTGTCCTAACTTGGGCTACAGTGCTCCGATTTGAGCGCGGTTTGAAGCCACGCATAGCTAATGAAGAAACCTACAATATAGTAGAGGTTGTGAACTAAATAAGAAGTAAATTAATGGTTTAAAATGGAAAATGAACATGATGTTAAGCTTAATTTATCTGTTTCCGCAAGGTAATATGGTTATGATCACGAAATTGGGTATTATAAGTTCGGTACGTTTTAAAATGAAAAATTTATCCGGATTTTAATTGAACCCATGTGATTGTAACTGCGCTTAATATCATAATGCGATGTTAACAAACCGGTTCTAGAACGGGGTGTTACACTTTATGGTATCAGAGCAGTTTCGTCGGGAATAACTGTTAGCTATTGTTGAGTATGCTTAGTGTTTGATGCTTTATAGTTGTTTTAGTACTCTGTATGATTATTGCATTTGTGATCACTAAGTGTGGGCCTGATCAACTCACTTCTTTGTGTAACATGTGTAGTGACATGACGAGGAACCGAAACAACCCCGGACCATCAAACACCAATGCTCAGCCAGAACCTGTTTTGGCTGCTCTTGTGAGGCCTAGAAGTGGCCGTGGGGCAACGGGCGTACAGCCTGATCCCGTAGCTGAAGCTCTTGCAGCTGTTCAGAGGGAGTTGGCTGCTAGCAGGCAAGCCAATGAAAATCTGATGAAAACAAATGAAGATTCGCGGACTGCTATGGCCGCAATGATGACCGAGTTGAGGACGTTGAGGGGTCCTAGGCCCGTGAACCGGCAACCCACTCCTCCTCCTCACACTGCTACGCCTTCTCCACCTCCTTCACAGGAAGAGGGTGGAGTGGGTAACAATGAGGGTGAGGGTAGTCACCACTCTGGGAGTCGGAGTCATCACACCGAGGTTCGTCAACCTCGAGTTGAAAATGTTGGTGATCATGAAGTGGAGGAAAGGAGATTGATGGCTTTCCGAAAACACAAACCTCCTTCTTTTAAGGGAGGTTATGAGCCAATGGCGGCTGCAAAATGGCTCCAAGCGATGGAGAAAATATTCAGGGTGATGAGATGCCCGGACGCAATGAAGTTGGCTTACTCTGTTTATATGCTGGAAGAGGAAGCAGAAGATTGGTGGACAAATACTGTGCAGCCATTAGAAGCTGAAGGTCGTGAGATCACATGGCGGTTGTTCGAGACATTGTTCTTGGACAACTACTTCCCTAGAGAGGCTAGGGAACAAAAACAGAACGAGTATAACGATCTCAAGCAAGGGTCGATGTCTATTGACCAATACTTCTCAAAATTCAATGAGTTGGTGAAATACGCCAACTATGGGCGAGCCTTACCCACCCCGGCTGAAATGACCTCCAAATTCCAATGGGGTCTTAATGAGAAGATGTCTCGGAAGATGTCAAATTGTGACATCCGAGAGTTCAGTCGGTTTGTAAACCAGTGTAGAAAGGTGGAAGAAGTGTATAAGGTGTCCCAAACCAAGAAGTCTTCTGAGGCCCAGGCACCTAGTTCCAATAAAGCAACGGGCTCAGGTTATTGGAAGAACAGGAAGGTGCAAGGCAAGAAGCTGAATGCGAATAAGCCCTTTGACTTGTTCAAAAAAACCCGGTACTCAGAAGAATTTTGTTGATAGAGGACCTCCTCCCAAGTGCAAGGGATGTGGCAAAGAGCATAGGGGTCCATGTGCTACCGGTGAATTGATTTGTTTTAAATGTGGAAGATCCGGTCACTACTCCAGGCAGTGTCCTCAGAACGAAGCAAGGACTATGGCAGTTCAAGCTACTGCTGTTCCGGTCTCTGTTGTTCAACCTATGCTAGAGTCTCAGACGGTTGGTAGAGTATATACCATGGACCGTCAGCAATCGGAGAAGGCTCCGAATCTAGTGAAAGGTACAATTTACATTGATAATATGGATGTTGAAGTGTTGTTTGATTCAGGAGCTACACACTCCTGTATGTCTGATTTTATGGCCGTTGGGCTAAATTTGCAAATGTATGACATTCGCCCTCCAATGAAAGTGGTTACTGCTACTGGAGAGGAGTGTTATACATCCGTGTTGTGTAAAGATGTCGAATTCAAATATGAAGGCCGAGATTACGTGCTGGATTTTATTTGTTTACCTATGATCAGCCTTCAAGTTATCTTGGGTATGGACTGGTTGTCAAAGAACTGTGCTATGATAGACTGCTGTGGTAAAAGGATTGTGCTTGATGCTGATGATTCTGCTACTAGTTCTTCCCCATATCTATCTGTGTTGCAGGTTAGAAAGGCTTTGAGGGCCGGGGCATTGGGATATGTCTTTGTGGGGGGTTTAGTAGGCGGAAGTCATGAGGAGATTGGCACTATTTCCGTGGTGAGGGAGTTTGTGGATGTGTTTCCCGATGAAATTCCACAACTTCCGCCTCATAGAGAGATTGAGTTCACGATTGATCTGTTGCCTGGTGTGGGGCCTATCTCTCTGGCTCCGTATAGGATGTCACCACCGGAACTAGCCGAGTTAAAGAAGCATATTGAAGAGCTTTCGGCTAAGCAGTTTATCCGGCCTAGTGTGTCCCCGTGGGGAGCACCAGTCATATTTGTTAAGAAGAAGGACGGTAGCATGAGATTGTGCACTGATTACCGTCAGTTGAATAAGGTTACCATTAAGAACAAGTATCCTCTCCCTCGCATAGATGATTTGCTTGATCAGTTGAGGGGTGCTTGTGTTTTCTCAAAGATTGATTTGAGGTCGGGTTATCATCAAATCCGAATTAGGCAGGAAGATATTCCGAAGACTGCCTTCCGATCTAGATATGGACATTATGAGTATCAAGTAATTCCATTTGGACTCACTAATGCTCCTGCGGTGTTTATGGATTACATGAATCGCATATTTAAGCCGTTTCTGGATCAATTCGTGATTGTGTTTATTGATGATATCCTGATATATTCGAAGAGTAAGGAAGAGCATGAAGGTCACTTGAGAACTGTGTTGCAAATTCTCAGAGAGAAACAGTTATATGCAAAGCCTTCTAAATGTGAATTTTGGCTTTCTCAAGTGCAATTTCTGGGTCACGTTATCTCTGCTGATGGAGTAGCGGTTGATCCTAGCAAGATAGAGGCAGTTGTTGATTGGGAAAGACCCAAGACAGTAACAGAAATAAGAAGTTTTCTGGGTTTGGCTGGTTATTACCGGAGATTCATTAAAGAATTTTCAGCCATGGTGTTGCCATTGACCCGTTTGACCCGGAAGGATACTCCATTTGTTTGGACACAAGAATGTGAAGAATGCTTTCAGAGCCTTAAGGAGAAACTAACGACCGCTCCGGTGTTAGTACTTCCCGACCCGGAAGGTGAATTTGAGCTATACAGCGATGCGTCCAAGAAGGGATTGGGATGTGTGCTGATGCAAGATAGGCGGGTGGTAGCTTATGCATCGAGGCAATTGAAACCGCATGAAGAAAATTATCCAACCCATGACCTTGAGCTTGCTGCAATTGTTTTTGGGTTGAAACAGTGGAGGCATTTCTTGTATGGAATGCAATTTGCAATATTCAGCGATCACAAGAGTTTGAAATACTTGTTTGATCAGAAGGAGCTGAATATGAGACAACGACGGTGGACCGAGTTCCTAAAGGACTATGATTTCGAATTGAAATATCATCCTGGCAAGGCTAATGTTGTAGCTGATGCACTGAGCCGAAAATCCGTGAGTATATCAAGTATGATGATCAGAGATTATGATGTGATTGAGAGGTTCAGAGATATTCAATTATCTAAAATCTTTCCATGCAAAGTTTGTGGCTTTGAAATCACAAGCATTGAGAATGAACTGATGACCAGAATCAAAGAAGCCCAGCTGCAAAATGAAAGTGCTAAGCGACTAAAAGGTCAGAGTGGTGTATCCTGCAATGATGAGGGTGTACTACTATATCAGGGTCGTGTTGTTGTACCTAGGCAGTTGGCGGAGGAAGTGATGACAGAGGCTCATAAGGGTCATTTTACAGTTCATCCGGGAGCTACAAAG